TGGAGGATTTGAAAGTGTTCAGGCCTGTTTTTGTGCCCAGGGTTGTTGTTAGATAGTAGCAGTAGTAGAAGAAGCAGAACCTCAGTTATGAAGCAGGGCTGGCCTCAACTCCCCTTAAAACACAATCAGAGCACCTGGTTTTCCCCAAAGTGATGCTTGGCTTTGTAAAGTCTCTTTTTCTCGGTTGATTAAATTTTTTTGTGCATTTTTTTGCAGGAGCGTTTGAGCACTTATCCCTTCATTTGACTTCTTTTCACACGTGAACCAAGATTTAAAAACACAGCTTGAAAGAATGCAGTGAGTTTGATGATTTGCATATGCAAAACTTCCAGAAACTGGATCTGATTCAACTTGTCGAACAGCGGAAGGTTTCTCTAAAGCTAAAATACTTTTGCAGAAGTCACGTCTTGATTGTCTCACGTCTTAAAATTCCTTCGCTGAGCTTCTGAAGTGAGCTAAAAAAGCAGTCAAATGAAGAAGATATCAGCTCTCTACAGCCTATTTTCTCCTTTTTCATTCTTGGTTCACATGTGACAGCGACTTGAATTTCAAAACTGAGGACAGCTGGAGACTGAGGACGGATAAACACCCTTGAAGTTTGCTCGACAACGGAGTCTGGATCAGAGCGCAGATTTGCTCTGATAGCAGGAATGACGTGCTCAAAGTCCAGAGTCTAGTTCAGAAACTCTGATGCAATATCAATATTTCAGAGATGGAAATATATCAAAGAAAACCAGAAGACTGCATTGCTCTTTAACTTTTGTGCTTGAAACCGGTAAACAGAAAACAACAGAGCCATCATCAGAGCGAACTTCAGGGACGGTAAAGGAGTTCAGCCTCGACGTCGTCCCCCCACCCCGCAAACGTCTGAACCTCGCTGCTCTTCAAAACTTGACTGTCGCTGCATAAAAAGCTTTTTTGAGGAAACCAGGCGCTCGCCACGATACAACGGAGCAAGTTTAAACGAAGGAAGGACGGAGCACACCGGTCGCACTGCGCGCCGCTTTGTTCGTCCCCTCGTCGTGACCGGGGCAGTTTCCCCAAGTTTACAGGAAACGACGATTGCAACATTTAATCGCGATTGTCGATTACGTAGATTTATAAGCCACCTGGGTGCTGCACACCTCCACTCGTCAGCGTGCGCTAAAAATAAACAAGCATAAATTTGAGACAAACCTCTTTAAGACTGCGAACCTACAAGCCGTCAGTTAGCTTCAAAGGCTTTTTAAGGCTTATTTTAGAGGTGCTTTAATTCTTAACAGGGATTTTTTATAAATCAAACTGCAAAAGTGAACCATGATTGTTGTGCTAGCTGCAGCAAACCTAAAGTCGCTGCTATTAGCAAGCCAGAATGACATCACCAGTACCGCTGATGTAGCCTTCTCTTATTGGCTAAAAATCAACTGGTGGTCCTGATTCCCATTACATCCTGGTACTTTGGTACTCGTAGTGAACTACATTTAGATTTTTAAATTAACAATTGTAATTAGCACAAGTTCGTGATTTAGCTAACGGCTATTTTGATCCTTGGTTTTAGCATCTCACACATTCACATAAAAACGGGACACGATCGCTCTTCATCCCTTTGAAGGTAAAAAGTGCAAATTTATGTGGAAAAGTTGGCCAAAAATATTTTAATCAACAAAATAAAATAAAAATAGTTGAAAGTAGACTACAGTAGAACTTGTGGCGTGTCAAACGTCACTGAGGTTCACTCGAGGCACCGGTCTGGGCTAGCGGAAGCGTTCAAGCAAATTTAGTTCCCACACGATCACGTTTAACTTCTGCAGGACCGCCTTCGCTTTGGTGCCAGTGTGCTCGGTTCCCTCCTCTTTCAACATTCAGACAGTAAACCTTTCCTCCCCAAAGCAATTACATTCAATCATTCATCAGAAAAATATTCAATTAAAACTATACACTTGCAAAAATAAAACTCTCTTGGAAGCGTGCTAAGGCTGAGCGTCCACCAGGAGGCGCTCTCCGCCGCGATGCCAGCACTCCTGTTAGGCCCTGCAGCTGTGCGGCGAGAGCTTCAGTGCTGCTGAACGCTACAAGTTTAAAGAACTGCGAAGACTTCGAGCAAACAAAGAAGCATTTTAACCACCTCGGACGAGCGGTCGGAGCTACGCGGCACAGCTCGACCGGCCGCCCCGCGGACGGAGTTGGAAACCTCCCCCTGCCGTCGTGTCGTTGAGGCCAGCCCTGGTATGCATTTGTAAATACAGTATTTCAGATATATGTAGTCTTATCATCTTTAAATCTGACCAGGACACTACAGCGGCAGAAGCAATACATAAAGAAGCTCATATTTTGTTTTTTTACTATTATTCTTTTTTGTAGGAATGGAACTAGTTTCAACTAATCCTACCAAGCCAACATGTAGTAATGTATCGAATAAAAGGCTATTTATCTTTTTTTTTGTCTGTTTTTGTTTATTACAGGTGTGTGTGATGGTGTGCAGGACGACAAAGAGAGAGAGGGAGAGAAAAACGAAGGAAAACGGTGAAAAATGAAAGAAAGCGAGGAGACGAGAGAGACGAAGAAAAGGAGGAGGGATAGAAACAGATCAAAGTATGATTCAGGCAGCGTGAGTCTTGATTGCAGGTTTTTACTGTCGAGTTTGTAAGTTGCGTGATCGTTACCGTTGAATCCTTCAAGTCTCTCGACTGTTTTTTTGTTTTTATACTCAGTTTGTTCCTTATCGGGTTTGAAACAAAGATCCACGACAGTCACTTGGTCGTACAAGCATGTTCGTCGGAACGAGAAGTGCAGATTGGCTTAAGTTTCTTTTTGTTTTTTTCCTTTGCTTTTCTTCAAAAAAGGGTTCCAGACAGTGGCTACAATAATAATAATAATAATAATAATATAATAATATAATAATAATAGCACTTGACTTCACTTCAGCACAGTAAAAAAAAGGAAAAAGGTCCAAAGGTGCTTTTTTTTTCTCTGTTTTGTTTTTTAAATCTGATTTGATGTGAAGCGAAGTCCCCCCTCTTCCTCCCTCCTCTCCCTCCCACCTCTCCTCTCAGCGGGGAAGTGGCGGGCGGAAGTCCAGTGCCGGTGAGATGAACAAGTGACTGAAGTATTGCCAACTGGTCCGTCTTTTTTTTCTCTTCTTTTCCTTGTTTTTCCTTTTTTTGTAGTGGCTCCACTCTGGTTCAGTACAAAAAGAGGAGAGAGATGGGAAAGAGCAAAAAACCACCAAGAACAAAAAAAGGAAAACTGTTCACGCACACGCTGGCACTAGATTTTTTTTTTTTTTAAAGTCCAACAAAAATAAACCAAAAAAAAAAAAGCGGAGAGGGTTTTTTTTAAGGAAAAAGAAAACCAGGAGGATTTTGGGGGGACGAGTTGCTCCCATTTTACAAAATGTAACAAAATTTTTCCGCAAAATTTTACAAATCTGTAGCAATACAGGAAAAACAAACAAACAAACAAACATATATATCCTATTTACAACGACACGGAGAAGAACCCTTATGTTTTGAAAGTGTAGTGAGAATGCAGCAGATCCCAGCTTTGGCACTCGGCGTGTTTGTTCGTTTTTTTTCTTGTTTGTTTGTTTGTTTTAAATCCACCCTGTCGGTCTGTACTGCTGCTGCAGGCACACATTCAGTGCTCCGGTTCGTCTCCACGGCAACACGGGTCACACACAACACCGCCTCGGCCACGTCCGTCAGTCCCGCCTTTAACTCCGTAAAATACGGCGTTTGTGACGCTACAGATGGCCCCGCCCCTCCCTGAGCCTGGTTCTGCTGGAGGTTTCTTCCTGTTAAAAGGGAGTTTTTCCTTCCCACTGTC